ATGACCGAATTTGGTTCTATCAGCTACAACATCTTTGGCACGAAATGATATAGCCATTAAACGACTACAAGAAGAACTTGGGTTGACACCATAATTAACTCGATATCGGTTTTTAAAAGCAACTAATAAAACTACGGATCATAATAAATCATGAATAATGAGAAATAATTGAATATCGAGACTTGGAAATTTATGAACGAGATATTCAACTGATGTGTTTTTAAAATAAATGATAATATAATTGGTTTATCTGCATAACGATAATTTCTACTATCGATCTAATCATTTGCAATGTTTTGACAAAGTAATGGAAATGGTTCATATGATTGTAAACGCAATTGTGGAAATGTACTTTTTCGTTCAGATGGTTTATAATAAACATTTTCATAGAAACATTTTGAAATATCGGCAGCATGTTTTTTAACGAATTCAAGAATTGTTTGAATAGTTTTCCAACGTTCTGCACCTCCATCAACTTGTTGTTGACCACCAACAGTATAAATCAATTGATATTTAACATGTAAAATTTCATCTAATACATCATGAACATATTTTTTTAAGCATCGTTGAACTGCTAACATAGAATGAACAATATCAAATTCATTTCTTCGACATTTATCAATAGCGAGTAAATCAAATGAGAGAATATCTTCTGATGAAGTCAATATAATATCACAGTTCAATAATCCTTGTTCGACACGTTTAAAAATTTGATTTATTTGTACAGTATTGAAATTCATATCACGACGACATACAAATGGAAAAATACGTCGATTAAGTAAATCCTAATTTACATCGTAAGGATTGATAATTTGTTGGAAATTATGATTTAAGTACTACAATACGAACTAAACTCGAACTAGATGAAGATAAATTAACAGCTAACATTGGTAAAATAACTGACGTTTTCTCTTCGCCCATATTCATTTGCATCACTATATTTCGTACTGTTGAATGTTCGATTTCCATATTTGGCTGTATCATATGTTGTGCTACTTTGATTTGAATTTCTCGAATAGTTATATTCATTTCTAATTTCAAAATAAGCCAAGAAATATGTTCAGATGTTTTTCAATTTGAATGTGGTATATGTGATATTTCTTTTTTAAAGTCTTTCCATTTTTCATGAATTGCAAAATGGAAAATTCATTCGAGTTGTTGTTCTAATGTCCAATTAACAATAATACCACGGATTATTGTACATTGATCGTTAGTTAATAGAAATGATAAAGATTTTTCAA